CTCTTCTGGCCTGCAGGAGAGGCCAGTGGCCCCCAAGTCAGACGTTTCTATTTTCAGCTCCCCAAGTCCAGAGAGCAGTAACCTCCACCTTGCCAAGGGCCAGGCTGCTAACCCGCCGGCAGCACGGGGCCTGCTGCCTCTCTGTGTTTTCATTTCCATAAATTTACATCAAATTTGTGCTGAATCATATCCCCCCCATGCAGAAGAAATGAAATACATTATCAATAAGTACAACAAATTTGAATAATCTGAGAGCAGATGACTTTTCCTGTCTCTTTTCCATTTAACTCCTTACGTGGGCTGCATCTCGATCCGCTTCCCCCTCCAGCCTGGGTTTGGATTTCTCCCCACCCAGCTGGTGCCCACGGTTTTCAGCTCTCCTCCCGTGGTTCTTGATCTTTGGGCCTCTCCTCCGGCACCCCAGGCCCTGCCTCTCCCTCTGTCTCTCTGCTCCTTTCAGGTCATCCTCCTTTCCTCCTGACATCTCAGCCCTGCTTCTGGGAACACATCCACCAACCAAGGAGTGGCCTTTCTGCTTCCACTCCTTCCCAACCCCTGTCTCCCGCAATGCTCAAGCCAATCACACCCAAGCCTGTGTCCCCTTAGGATGACAATTGCCATCCCCGGCCTGCCAGGCCATCATCAGACCCACTCAGTCATTTTGAGCGCCTAGGAGGGAGGCAGTTCAGCAGGGAGTGCAACTTCCGTCCACCCCCTGCTGCCTGGCTGATTGGCAGCCAGCGGGGCTGGAGCGGAGCAGCTCGTGCTGATCGTTTGCCACTGGGCAGGAAGGGCTTGGTAGGGGGGTGGCCGAGAGAGGACCTGAGAGCTCGGAGGTCTAAGAGACACAGAGGATGCCCTGAGTCAGGAACCTGGCCAGAATCTCCCATCTGCCCCTCTGGGGTCTGGCTGCTGGCCCTCTGTAGGGAAATGATAGATGAGGTCCCTCCCAGAGGCCCTCTATGTAGGGGGAGGAGAGAGACGCTTATCTTCTACAGATTTGAGGCCAGTGGTTCAGGGGACCTCGGGTCTCAGGACTCTGCAGGAGGCCTGGCTGCAGCACACACCAGGACCCACAGTCTCCTGACCCTGTTTAAAATCAAGAGCAAAGGAAGTAGTTCAGCAGCCAGGGTATAGGGGCTCCTGGCAGGACCTGTCAAAATGGCCCTGCCTTGAGAAGAGCAAGAATTGGGGACCTTGGATCATATAGAGCTGATTAATAAATATATGTATGTACACACACACACACACAGACCCCATTATAAACAAGAGTCATTATGAATCATTTTCTGCCCAGATTGAGTTTCTTAATTCAGGCAGGAGAAAAGTCACTGGGGAAAAAAATGGCCATGAATATTGCCCCAACTGATATTGCCAGGCTTCGGAGAGAAGCCCGGCCAAAATCTCTACTGGAGATTTGCTTAGTTTCCTTTAATGAGAACTCCAACCGCCAGAATTTTGCTTGGGCAACCAGCATTTGAACTGAAATACTGTCTGGAGAAGTCACATCAAAAGCTTTAGGGCTTTCCCGCGTGTCTGGGGCTGCTGAGACCTGGTCAGAGTCTTCGTGCAAGTCGGTATAGAACCCATAATGAGAGCTTAGGTTGCTAACAATAAGTTCAAATCATCCTTTCTTTCCCAATCTCCCCAGAGATTTTGATTGTTTTCATCAGTCTGTGCTGGCTCAAGTTTTTAGATTAAGCTATTTTGGAGTTTCTGCGTCTAAAACCCTCTCAAACTTTTAAAAGTGAAAAGCATCACTCAAAAGCATCTAAGTACTTTCTTCTAACACTATAGTTGCACATAAATAAATCAATAAAACTGGTCCTGGGGCTATGAATATATATGGAAAAATTAGGTCTCTGGAGATGAGTTTTCAGAAAACAAGGGGATGTGAAAATGGAGGCTAAAGCAAACGTTTCAATACTTTGCAACGGGGTGGCACATTTAAGACAAGGGCACCGGGTTTTTAAGTGGTCTTGTGCCAGTGGACTGTCGGATGGGACATTTAATGTACTGCTTTTATAGGGATAAAGATAGTTGGTGTATGGGTTTATTTTTTCTTTGAAAAAAGTTAACCACAAAATAATTAGCTCTCTTTTTGTCAATCTGGGCTGCTGTTGATGAGGTATCTAGAGGCCTTCTGGTATAGGTGCCTAAAAGCTTAAACTGCATTTAATTATTATTATTACTCAATGTCAGGCTACATAAATGAAAAGAGATAAAAAAGAATTGCTTGCAGCTACATTGCCTTGGTTTGTGATTTCATCACATCTCACAAGCAAAGCAGGTTTGAGCTGGCACTTGGGGCATGAAACCTCTAAGGAAAACCCAGGCAGCTAGAGAAGCCGTTTCAACTGAGTTGAAAGTTTCTCCATATGCTGGGGAGGGTAGAGGTTTGCCACACTTTGATTTTCCTCCCCAGCTTTATTTTTAAATATCTTAATAACTATCTCACTTATTTCAGAGAAGGAAAGCAAATAGGGGAAATGGAGTCACAGGGAGAGTACTCTTAAAGGTACATAGTCTGGAATGTGAAGATTTCTTGGCTCTCAATGGTTCATTGTCTGTCCTGCTGCCTGAAATACCAGTGAGGGCGCCAAAGGAACAGTGGTACATCTTGAAGGGATCAGTTAAATGTGGAAACTGGAATGGGCTTTCCCACCTGAACTCAGGCAGAGAGCAAGGTGCAGACAAGGAGGCTTGAAAGGCAGATGGACCAAGTTCTGCCCACTTTTCCTACAGTCTATTTCATCCACAGGTCAGGATGAAACTAGATGGCTTGCCAAAGGGCAATATATTGGCGGACAGTACCTTGCTTTTTAGGCATGAGACGTCAGGCTTAGGAACAAGTGCTTGGCACTGAGTTAATTAACTCCAGACATTCAGCTCAAGGATGACCTTCTTTCTACCTCCTTGGATTCAAAAGATAATGAGTTAGGCAGTCCCGAATGGTCAGAAGACCAGAAGCTTTAGCTGCATTCTAGCCCCCGCCCCCCGCCCCGGCCTTTTTTCCTTCTGTTCTCTAGAGCATTAGTTTGCAAGCCCCCTAGGACAGGGACCATTGTATGCAATTTTATTGAACTTCCCCAGGATGAGTGCTGCAGTTGTATGCAACAGGCAGAAAACCAATGTGCTGACTAGTACACTGGTTCCTTTTCTTAGAGCCTGGCCAGCCAGTTTGTTATAGAATCTTCTTTAGATTATGATCTCAGGGACTGTTGCTTTTTGAAGGGCTGCCAGGGAGAGTTCAAGCCATTCAGGCCCTTCATCAGTTGTGTCACCATCCATTTTGATACCTAGCATATTGCCCTAAAACTTAGTGGCTTAAACTACAACTACTTATTTAGTATGTGATGCTATGAGTCAGCTAATTGAGGAAGGCTCAGCTGGGTGGTTCTTCTGTCGGCCTCAGCTGGGCTCAATCATGTGCTTGTCGTCAGCTGCGGGGGGTCAATGGCCTCACTCACGCATCTAGTGATTGTTGGCTGTTGGTTGGGAGTCCTATCTTATCCAGCAAGCTATTCTGAGCTTGTGTACATGGTGGTGATCACAGGTTGCCAAGGGCAGAAGCAAGAGTAAGTCCCACTGCACAAGTGCTTTACAAGCCTTTTTTTCTGGTACCACATGTACAAACGTTGCTTTGGCCAAAGCAAGTCACATGACTGAGAACAGAGTGAGACAGTGGCAAGGCAATGAACAAAGAAGGGGAATGACTGCTACCATTTTGCAAACAATCTATCATGTGCAAAACAAGGCCAAGAAAAGACTTCCAACGTGATACTTCATCCTTAGATTTCCAAGATGCTGGAGCCAGAAGTCCTAGTTGAGTCCCTGTTTCTCCATGTTTCATGCCTCAGTTTTCTTATCTGATAAATGGGGATAACATTCATTTCACAAAGTTGATCCAGAATCAACAGGGGTGAAACTATAAATAAATGTTGTCTATGATGCTTCCACAACTGTACAATGGGTTCACGACTTCTCAACCTTCTTGCTCATCTCCACGCATAGTGTTTCTGGGAGTACAGAGGGCTCACCATAGGTGGTTGTCCATGAGGGGATTTTAGGTGTCACAGGAACACCACCTTGGATAAGACTGACTTACGTGTGAGATTCAACTTTCCTCTGTCATTCTCTTTCAGTCCTTGCTCTTAGTAGAAGTCTCAGCTTAATGCCAATGTCTTTTCTTTTTGCTGTTTTATTTTTTGTAGAAAGGGGGTGTTTCGCTTCGTTGCCCAGGCTGGTCTTGAACTCCTGTCCTGAAGGGATCCTCCTACCTCAGCCTCCCAAGGTGTTGGGATTACAGGCATGAGCCATGGGATACCACCAATGCCAGCTTGTCTTTAACACCTCTCTCAAGCCATGCTAACCACCCCCCTCAGGGTTTTTGGCCCTATTTAGAATTGAATGCTTTATTTTCAGTGTTTACATTTGCTTTCTATTTATGATAGCTGATACGTTAAAAAAAAAATAGATACAAGCAAACATTAACAGTTTAAAAAATAGTGCTAAGTATACAATAATATGTGGTTCATTCATTCTTGCGTTCAACAAAGATTTGTAGAGCATCTCCTACGTGCCAGGATCATGCCATCAGCGAACCAAGGAAGCCCCTGCCCTCGGAGAGCTTACATTCTAGGGGCGAGAGTCGGGATGGTGGTCACGGAAGGGCTGGATTTGGGGATGTGCTTCTTGCGCAGGACACAGGCCGGTCCGTGGGTCCCATCTTCTGTGCGGAGAGCGCTGAGGGGTCCCGAGGGTCCTGTGGGCTGAGACCCCGGCCTCCGTTTGCCTAGAGGCCGGGCAGGGGGTCCCGGAGCCTGGGTCGCCGGGCGGAGGGCGCGGGGCGGGCCGGCGGGGCTCGGCTGCGGCCCGGGCTGTGTCTGCGGCCCCGGCGGCCGCGCCCCTCCTCCCTTTCCTCCCGCGGAGGCTGACGTGGAGTCAACAGCGCGGGCGGCCGAGGGAGGCGGCGGTGCGGCGGCTCGGAGGCTCCGGGCCCTCTCAGGGCCGCGCGGGGCCCGGGCGGCGGCGGCGCGACGCCGCGAGGAGGAGGAGGAGGAGGAGGCGGGGGTCCGTGAGGCCGGCCGGCGCATGGAGGAGGAGGCCATGAACGGCGACCGGACCGAGAGCGACTGGCAGGGGCTGGTGAGCGAGGTGAGGCCGCGGCGCCGGCCAGGCGGGATGGGCCCCGGGCCCGCGCCCCCGGAGAGGCCCAGCCGGGAGGGACGGGCGGGGGGCGCGCACCCCCCGTGGCCGCGGCTGCAGCCCCCGCGCGACCCCGCCAGGTGGCCGCTCCTCCCGCACTCGGGTCTGCGCGGGCGCCACTTTCTTCCGCGCCATCTGGTGCCAGCCTTTGGGGAGGGCCCTTCCCCCCGGCAGGGGTTAGCCCTGCATTGGAGGCTGCAGCCCTGGGATCCGGGAGGCGAAGGTGCCAAGCCCCACCTGCCTGCCTGCTCGCCACTGTTGTGGAGTCAAGCGATTGGACGCCTGGGACTGAAGCGGAAAGGTGGTGCCATGGGGGAGAATCCGAGCCCTGGGGTGGCACCTGGGCCAGGTGGAATTCTCTGCGGCGGTGGTGGTTCGCGTTGGGGGACTTCGGGTGTCCCCCGAAGCCGTTCACTGATTCACTAACTCAATCCAGTCAACACGTGTTTACTGCGGGCCTACCATGTGTAAGGTGGGGAGGGGCATTTATCAAAAAAGTGAAACACAGGTGCAGAAGTGATTCGATTTGTGGAAGCACAGAACACCGTGTCCCCTGCCCCGCGACTCTTTTGTCATAAACATACGCGGGGGGCCCACTTTCAGGCTCCTGTGCTGTTTGCTCTTTAGTCCCCACTAAGAGTTTTGCTGACCAGGGGAAGCTGCTGGCCTCTCCAGGTGAGAGGGAATGCGGATGTCTCCCTCTCACAGGTAATCTGCCCTGATTTGCCACCATTTGTGCTGGCAGTTCCCGGTGTTACTTAGCCATACTGGGGAATTTCTCCCTTCTGAGAACCAAGCTCCAGCCCAAGGCCCCTTTTCCCTTTTTTTTTTTTTTTTTTGAGACGTCTCATTCTGTCAACCAGGCTGGAGTGCGCAGTGGCGCGATCTCAGCTGCGCGTCCCAGGTTCAAGCGATTCTCGTGCCTCAGCCTCCCAAGTAGCTAGGATTACAGGCGCGCGTCACCACGCCTGGCCAATTTGCGTATTTTTAGTAGAGATGGGGTTTCACGCTGTTGACCAGGCTGGTCTCAAATTCCTGACTTCAGGTGATCCACTCAACTCAGCCTCCCAAAGTGCTGGGATTACAGGCGTGAGCCACCGCGCCCGGTTGGGGCTTCCTTTTCTTTACTCCTATGCACTCCATGCGGAATGTATGGGTTTGCTCTTTTCCTTCCCTTGTGGGGTATGAGAAGGGAAACCCTCTACTGTCTCACTCCTTTCATCGTTTTCTGGGTCTCCAGGTCAGTCTGATAATAGTGCTTCATGCCCAGTGTGTGCAGAGCCTTGTGTTTCTGAAGAGGAATGACAAGCGGTAGCTTCTGCCCTAGTTTAGTTTGCCCAGCATTGGTCTAGTACTTGAAAGCTCTCCTGTCTGGTGTTATGATCCAGTGTATTGCAGCCTGGCTCTATCTTCTCAAACTGTCAGGCTTTAAGTCAAGGGACAGATCCTCTGGGGACTTTGTTTCTGGGCCCATCAAGATACTTAGTAGTCAGGGAGGCTGGAGGTAGTTCTCCCTTAGAAGTCCAGTGTTAGGCCCTTAAATCGCATTAGAATTGTCACTACAACAATTGCCTATCAGATGCCTGTTAGGAGTTAGGTACATTGTTAGATGCTTGGGATTGGGATTCAGTGATGCATAAGACAAAGAATTTCCCTACCCTCAAAGATCTCCTGGGGCTTTCATGATATAGTCTGGGAGGAAGGTCATACCATAGACAATAAGAGCGTGAGCGTACTAAAGGATGGAATGTCTTCAAGAGCTACATGGCATGGGATGTCCTACAGTGGGCTGGGCCTTCCCCCACTTTGCGCTGACTGCATTATTGTACCAATGGGTTTCCTCACCAGGCTGTGTGCTTTGTTTGGCTCTTTGTTTCAAGGGCCTATACACTGCACTCTGTATGCAGCAGGTGCTCAATAAATGCTTGTTGAATAAGTCAGTGAATCCTGAATTAGGTCCTTCAGGAGTTTTCCTGCCCATTCCAGCAGAGTTTTTCCAGAGTAACACCTCCTTAACTTCCACGAACATGAGGTGAGCACATAGCCAGTGGCCATGAGGGGGATGAAAATGGGTCTAACTTACTTCCCACCTTAATAACCAATGACTGTTTCTTGAGTGGATTGTTCATGTGAAACATTTTACATGGCCTTGTACTCACAATGACGTAGTGCAGGAATTCTTTCTTATTTTACAGATAAGGAAACAGTGGCTCAGACAGGCTAAGGAACTTGCTCAGACCCTCACATCTGGTAAGTGGAAGAGGCAGGACTTGAATCCTGGTCTGTCTGACTCCTTGCTTGAGCCTTGCTTGTCTGAGCGTCGCTAGGCCACACTTTCTGTTGTAATCATTGCTCATCTGCCTGTATCTTCTGCTGGGTGGCAGGCTCCCCAAGGAAGGGGACCATATCTGGTTCAACTTTGAGTCCCCAGCAACTGGATCAGTGTTTCTCAGAGTATGGCCTACAGATCACCCACATCAGAGTCATTTTGGGTACCTGTGAAAAATTCAAGTTTATGGGTCTTTCCCAAATTTATTGTAATGAGCTGAATTGTGTACCCCCCACCATAGATGCGCCTGAGACCTAACCCTAGTAGCTGCGAATGTGACTGTATTTGGAAATAGGGCTTTTGCAGACATAACCAAGTTAAGGATCTTTTGATGGGATCACCCTAGATTTAGGGTAGTTCCTAAATCTAATGACTGGTGTCTTAGAAGAGAGAGGACAGAGAGATTTAAGGCACAGACACACAAGGGAGCAGGCTACGGGAAGATGGGGATGCATGAAAGAGACCATGTGAAGACAGAGGCAGAGATTAGAGTGATGCAGCCACGTGCCCAGGCATGCCAAGGGTCACTGGCAGCCCCTGGAACTGGAAGAGGCAGATTGTCCCTCAAAGTCTCCAGAATAAAACCAACTGCTGACACCTTGATTTTGGACTTCTGGCCTCTATCAATCATGTGAGCAAATACGCTTGTTGTTTTAAGCCAGCCCATTTGTGATCGTTTATTACAGCAGTGTATTAGTCCCTTTTCATGCTACTGATAAAGACATACCCCAGACTGGACAATTTATAAAAGAGAGGTTTAATAGGCTTATGGTTCCATGTGGCTGGGGAGGCTTCACAATCATGGTGGAAGGCAAGGAGGAGCAAGTCACATCTTACGTGGATGTCAGCAGGTAAAGAGAGAGAGCTTGTGCAGGGGAACTCCTCTTTATAAAACCATCAGATCCCTTGAGACTTAATCATAAGAACATCATGGAGGAACTGCCCCCACGATTCAATTATCTCCCATCAGCTCCCTCCCTCCCAAAACACGTGGGAGTTACAGGAGTACAATTCAAGGTAAGACTTGGGTGGGGACATAGAGCCAAACCATAACAAGCAGCCACAGGAAACCAAAGTGGATAAGCGTAGAGGGAATTTACTAGGAGGAGGCAAGGAAGAACCCTCCCCTAGAGCCTCACTGGGGAACATGGCCCTACCAAGACCTTAATTTTGGACTTGTGCAACAGTTGAATTCTGTTGTTTGGAGTTTCCCAGTCTGTGATAATACTGCTCAAAAGTGCCTGGGGATGCAGCCCCCTGATTTGCCTTTCTTACAAGCTGAGCTGCCCAGGTGATTCCCCTACCCAGTCACGTTTGACTGGCAGGGTTTCCATGGGTGTGACTGGGTCTGGTACCAGCCAAGTAGGAATCAGGGAAGAGTGTGCTCATTAGCTGTGGTGTCACACAGTGATTTGGGGACCTGACAGAAGAACGTGAGGAAGATATGACTGCACAGCTAATCTGGACCATATGGGATTTTTGTGGGCTTGCATCTATTTCTGCAGAAGTCCTGGGTGCTGCCTCCCACTCTGCATCCTTTCTCTGTCACCCTTCCTGCCCAGAGCCCTGTCCTCTCTTTCAGTTTGCTTCCTCCAGTTGCCTCTAAGAAGCTGTTTTCATTTAATACGATCCTAGAGAGATCAGTTTTATTTTCATATTTTTGGTATAATAAGCTGAAATTTCAGCCTTCTCTCAGGCCCTGAAGTAAACACACCCATGTGTGTGAAAGAAGCATGGCCGGTGTTCTGTTTGGGAAATTAAATGTCTGGGGAGGGGCAGATGTTCTTATTACCACCTGAGGTGAGCTTTCAAAATTGGAGATATCTGAAAGTGCAACCATGCAGGCAATCAATAACTTTTTATTTCCAAGATAAAAATCCTGGTCATCGCTCAGCCCATCACTCTATGATAAATGATACATAATTTCATTTCACTAGTTGAATTTTGGTTAATTAAATAACAATCAATCTCCTATTCCTTGAGCATGTTGTATGCAGGGGTCAGGAGGCCGAAGAAAGTTAACAGTGGACCTCTGCCCAAAGTAAAAATGATTTTTTGTTTTTGCTGTTGTTGTTTTAGAGATGAGGTCTCACTCTGTTGCCCAGGCTGGAATGCAGTGGTGTGATCCTGGCTTAATTCAGCCTACATCTCCTTCTTCATTTACCCAAAAGCAGCATAGATGTGGTGCAGACAACCAAAGGGCCAGAGGACACCTGAGGGGGGATGAGGGAAGACACAACAGTGACCTAGAGTGACCAAGGGTGAGATACAAGACTGAATTAGGAGAGTGTGGGTAGGCAGAACAGCTCACCCCAGCACCCCAGCCAAGACTTAGCCTTTGTCTTAGTATTTCATAAGTCCCCTAGAATTTAAATATAAATACTCCTGCTTCAGCCTCCTGAGTAGCTGGGATTATAGGCATGTGCCGCTATGCTCAGCCAATTTTTTTTTAGAGATGGGGTTTTGATGGCGGATCTTGAGCTCTTGGCCTCAAGGAATCCTCCTGCCTCAGCCTCCCAAAGTGCTGGGATTATAGGCATGAGCCACTGTGTCTGGCCTAGCCACTGATATTTGGAAAGGAGAGGTTGAGTAGGTGTAGACAGGCTCTGTGGTTAATTAA